GGGCGCAGCAGTGCAAGCAAAACCCGGTACAAACTTCCTGTAGTACGAGGCCAGGCCTAAAAAAGCTCTTCAGCTGCTTCTAGATGCTGGGGGTGGGCCAGTCTGCGACTGCCTGCACCTTCTCCTGCATGGTGCAATGCATTCACCCCCCAACCCAGTGTCCCAAAAATCATACCTCCCTCTGCATGAAGTGGCATTTCTCAAGGTGCAGCTTCAAGCCAGCTGCTCTGACCTTTTCCAGCACCAACCATAGAGTGGCCTTGAAGGAGCTGCCCTGCGCCAGGATGTTGTTGAGGTAAACCAGGCACTGCTGACCGGAGACACCAGCCAGCACCTTGTCCATCAACCTCGAATGTGGCAGGAGCATTATAAATTATAAAAGCTGAGGACCTTGAATTGCCAAAGTCCCCAACCGGTACAGAAAGCTGTTTTCTGTCGGGCCTCCGAGGCGAGAGGTATCTGGTAATACCCACTGTGGAGGTCCAAGGAAGAGAACCTCGTCAACGCGGGGCAGGGGTTATGAATCCTTCTTGGTTACCCCATTCACAGGCCTGTAGTCGGTGCAGAGCCGCCAGCCGCTTATCTTCTTGCTAAAATGTTCTTCAGCCCCTCCAAATAATTTGGCATTATTGGATTAAAAAAATGGTGATGTCATTAAATTAAACTATTGTTTAACTATTGTAGTTATAAATAACTAAGTTATTTATAACTCTAACATGCTACATATGTGCGTGCATTCTGGTTTGTATGTTTTCTCCCCCTTCAAATTACAATCCAATAGCCTATCATCATACTTAACGATATAAAGTTGACACTGTCGGGTCCATTCTCCATCCATTGTATGCGGTCCCTTTAAGAATTAGGATTTGGGAGTGACGCAGATATAAAAGCTAGTTTATCCGTCTTTCCTTTACAAGCAGGAAAATTATTTCTCTCTTTATTTGAGAAAAGTTCATATTTGTGTTGTCAAATTTCACTATGACCCTGAAATTCTGTCTCTTGTGTTATCATATACTGAATGCAAGCAAAACTACCGAGCAAAATCACACTCTTTCTGATTGAACCAATTTATGAACTGTCTGAAACAATGGATATCCAAGGCCCCAAATGGGCCCCAAAAAAAATTGCCGCGCGCTACGGCCGCAAACATGCCACTCCCCTTTGGGCTAAGCCCCCCCCTTCTTTGAATCCTAGAAACGCCCCTGCCCAGCAATATGTGTAAAATACGATATCTATGCAAAATATATGCCTTTCCTGCACGTCCTCTCCACCTGTCTGCATGTCTCAGCAGCAATGGGTCGCTGGAAAAATCGGCCACAGGAGGCGGGTCTATGAAGCAGTTTAGCCAATTGTTGATTAAAGATATGAATGTGTGACATACAATTTTGCCAATCAGCGTACTGAAATAAATTCAGCTTGGGGCGAAATATGTATTGCCCCGAGCTGCGCGTCCTCGTCAGGACTAGTCTCTACAGGCGAGCACGAGCACTGCTCCTCCAAGACCTGTTTGAGAGGAGAACTTTGGCGGAGAAACTGAAGTGAAAGAGCTGATCCCAGATCAGCCTGACCTCACAATCAGACAGCAGACTAGCGGGAAAGGGAAGCAGTACATGCGAAGCTTCTCTACTAGCTACCAGACAGGTTTGGCTAGCTGGATGCAGTCGTATTTAGCTTTTTAAAACAACGGGGACATTAATAAGATGTCCTGACGTGTTTGTCAAAGTGTTATTTACTGCTTTTTTTCGTGTTGGAATAAATGTTAAATATTTAACTGCAAAGTAGTAATACGTGTTTTTGCATTAAATCATATTGGGATGTTTGCTGAAATTGATTGGATGTGGCCAGTGGTGTATGTTTTGGATATCTGTACTTTACATTACTATTTATATTTCTGTTGACTTTTACTTTTACTTCACTACATTTAGCAAAGAAAACTGATACTTTTACTCCGATATATTTCCCCTGAAACCTTCGTTACTCGCTACAAAATCAAATCTATCTTTAGAAAAATGAATCATGAGACCAATGTCGGGGACTGTGGTGGAACAGAGACTGCAAGCAAGCAGGTTTGGCGAATCAGTGGTCCTAGCTTGCAAGTTAAATCATTGGTTAATCACGTTAATGCGCAATTGCAAACAAGTGCTCTCAAAGCCGCGGTGTTTTGATTCCCAGTAATGCCCAGGATGCTAGCTAGCGATCCTACATAAGTAGAATTCCACTCTACGATGACTGATTTCATGACCGAAGCAGAAATGGAAGCACCTGCTACTCCCGCAACAAACTACGGTGGTGACGAAGACCAACACCCGTGGATCGCTAGCGAGTTAGTGAGCTGAGGAAGTGTTGACAGTTGTGAGATTTTGTTGATTTGAGTCATCTTAGCTATAATCATTGCAGCACTAGTTGGCTAACGTTAGCTAACTTAACGTTAGCTAGCCACCACACCATAGGATTGACAGGAGCCGCAAGAGCGCAGCATTAGGGAAATCCTTCCCAGCTGTGCGCAAGCTGAAGCTGAACACACCTCTACCTGCCTCAGCGGCATGTGAAAGGCTATTTAGCATCGCAGGACTAGTCTTCAGCCCAAGAAGAGCGAGACTGAATTCTCGCAATTTTGAAAACCAACTTCTTTTGAAGATGAACAGGACATTTTTCAGTTTGAAGTAATGACTGGGTTGTTGCTTTCGGTGCTGCTTTAGTATTGATCATGTTTTGATATTTGAGTCATTTTGTGGATGATCAGATGGAGTTATGATGGTAGCAGTCGCCCAATTGCAGATTCAGCTTGAGCAAAACCTTTGCCTATTGTGTTCAAATCAGGCCCATAGGAGTTTATAAGGCAGGTGTCCTTTCTCAAAACACTGACCTGATGCATCAAGTGGATATTTTTTGCTGAACACAATATTATGCATTTGCCCTCTACATCCTCTAGTCGGAATGAGCATACTTATAAACACACTGTTACAACTCCTTGATAGTGATATTGCTTTTCTGAGAATTATGATGATAAGTTCATAGTAGATGCAAAAGTATACTTATGTACAATATATTATGTTGAACATTGTTGCTCCTGGATGGATCACAGCCAACCCAATTATTTTCAACACAGCTCCTTGTCCTTGGTCATGGGTGGCCACAGCACTTAAAAGAATAAACTTCATAATTCTCATAATTCTGACCCTTTGCTTTTTTATTAACAGCATTTACTTGTACTTTTACTTTCAATACTTTAGTACATTTAATATCAGAAAATTACTTTTGATACTTAAGTACAATAAATATCAGATACTTTAAGACTTTTACTCAAGTAGTATTCTAATAGGTGACTTTTACTTTTACTGGAGTCATTTTCCAGTAAGGTATCTTTACTTTTACTCAAGTATGGCTCTTGAGTACTTTATACACCACTGGATGTGGCACAGCCCTACCTAGAAATGTTTCCACCAGCCGCCACTTGCCACAACTGTTCCTGCTGCTGGGGCTTTAGGCCACAACATTTCTTCCTCCACACCTCCCTTACTGCAGAGAGCGTCCCCTCCTCTTCCGTCCGGGACAACTAGGGCTGGGGCTGAGTCGTTCACGATGGGGCCGGATGGCAAAAGAAGGAAGGTTGCAGACAACAGTCTCTACAGTACTCACACTGTGGACACTGTATGTTCTTCGAGGGTAACAGCAGCTGGAGGAGGATTGGTGTATATAAGTGTTCAAAGGATAAGTCCACTAAGAAAGCGAATACATTGTTTTTAACAAATATTTAAATGTGTGTTTTCAATATAATATGGCATGACAGAATATACGTATTTGATGAGTGACTTTCCACAATGTGAGAATGTTAATTGAGTGCTTTTTGGTTGTAGGTTACCTGGGTATCACCTGACTTTGCCACTCTGTCTCTGCAGGGTTTCATAGGAATACTGCATGGAATGTGTATTCCATGAATACACATCACCCCTGTTCTCCAGAACCTCCACTGGCTCCCCATCCCACAATGGATCCAATACAAAATCCTTCTCACTCATAAAGCCCTCCACAATCCGGCCCCCTCCTACCTCACCGACCTGCTTCACCACCACACTCCATCCCGTCGGCTCCGCTCCTCTGATGCCAACCTCCTGTCTCTTCCACTCAGGACCAAGCACCGGACATGGGGTGACAGAGCCTTCTCCATATCTGCCCCCTCCCTCTGGAACTCTCTCCCCAAACACATCCGACACTGCATTGAACTTTCCATATTCAAATCACAGATCAAAACCCACCTGTTCAAAACTGCTTTTAATGTGTGACCACTATTGTGTATTTTATGTTTTTAGTGTATTGCTTTTATATATATGATGATTTTAATGTAAAGTGTCTTTGAGTTTTATGAAAAGCGCTATATAAATAAAATGTATTATTATTATTATTATTAATAATACCACACAAGTATTTCCACATCCGCATCTGAAGATTTCACCTCCACCTACTAATGCAGGATAACCAATTAAATAGAAGGATTATAAAATTAGCTCTATTTCAGAAATAGGATTGCTCACAGGATACTCATCGGTTTGCAACTCTAATAATGTCTAACCGGTCTTTTTGATTCCAACCAAACCCCAGGATTTAGTTCTCCTAAAATGCATTTTTTGTAACCGCGCCCAAGTTTATCACATATATATTACTCTCCTGCAAAGTGACATTTTATAAAACAACAAAAGAAAGATTGATTTATCAAAGTGAAATACAATTTCTGTTTTTCTTTAATTCATGAGCTTTTTGTGGAATTGTCATTCATAGTACACATACAGGGGTGTTTAAGACGTTAGGTTGATTTATACAAACTATTTGGATGATCACCATGTATTCTCACCTTTACCTTTCTCGTAGAATCTTGTTCACAGCAATGATGGGATACACTCATCCATCCATGTTCTGTACAGATGTACCAGACGCCTGTGCTGTTGGTGCCGTTATTGTCCTGGTTTCATATCGCCCCCTGGCGGCTGTTTGGTGCACTGGCCTGTTGGTTGCGAACAGGACATACTGAACACAGCTGGTGCCAATCACTAGCTGGGAGATTTACTCACACCCGTTAGTTGGTTTTCTGCATTTCGGCGCAGCAGTTGTTTTCACATCGTAAGGTATGTGCCGAGATCGTTTACACACTGCGAGTACTATGGGGCAGTTGAAGCAAACAGCATGTGGCTAGTTTATGTTAGAATGCTAACCGCTCGTTAGCAACAGGCCTGGCTAAGGTTGTGTTTGTTTTTTCCGCCAGCTGGCCTCTTCTGTCACCCGTTTCAACATGACTAGCTAACAAGCCAGGGGTGGCTTCTAAGATGCGATAGCTCGCTGTGTTTGGGCGAATGGGCTCAAGGTTCCTTTGCTTCAGGCTGTCAGAATATTGTAGAAAGTTATGTGATGTAACGTCACTCCGCTACGATGCATTTTTAGATCGTAACAAAATGACATGTGTACCACCTATATGTATCTTAGATTTTTTTTTAAATGATGATGTTCTTAAAATAAATTCGGCGTACCTCTAAATAGCACTTTGTTAACGTTTATTAAATTCTACCTGTCAAATGAGCGTTATCGTAACGTTATCTGACAGAAACGCAACAGTTAACGTTATTTAGGCGGAATATTTCTGGGAGTTTTGGTAAAGACACCTGCAAGCACGATCATTTTATTACGTTATTAGCGTAACGTTAGTGGTTCCTGGTCCGCGGCAAAAGCACCACAGTGCTTAAGCTGGTGTATCTGGTATTGTAAACATATACAATTGATTAAATGTTAGAACGTTACCTCCTAAATCTTGCAGTGTGTTGACAGTCGCAGCCCTGCATTCCAAAAAAGGAAGACGAGTACTTCACCATGAGCTCAGAGGATGGTGAGACAACACACAAGTAATCTGTCCTCAGGTCACATGGCAGTCAGTCTGACTGCCCCTTCCGCCGCTGCAGGTGACATGGAGAACCAGGCCGAGAGGGAAGAGAAGACGAGGCTTATCAACCAGGTGTTGGAGCTTCAGCACACGTTAGAGGGTAACACAATGACACGCACACGTTTAGTTGTTCAAACCGTCCATACTAAATACAAGCTTCAACCCAGTGAGAAGACATAAGCTCAGATCATCAACTGTGTCACACTGGCAGCCCACATCTGATTTCTAGCATTTACAGTTTGGTATCATGATAATTATGTGAATTGAAAAAATTGCTTCCCTGAATATTTTCTTTTCAGAATTTGATGTAAACCACATCAATAATTGTAAACGCATTACATTTTTCAATGTGACACAAAAGACTGACATTATAGGGAAGCGTGATACAAGGTTCAAGGATTCATCTATTGTCATTGTACAACACGGGTGCGCAAAGAAATGCAGTTGTATGCTACATAAAAAGAAAAATGGATGGAGGATGGGTCTCACAGCCGGAGGGAAGAAGGTGATCTGAAGTCTGGTGATACGCAGCTGATACTTCAAGGGCTACATCCACACAATTACGTTTCTCTTTCAAACCGGGTTTTTGAAAAAGAAAACAATCTCCGTCCACACGGCATTTCAGCATTGTTTTAAAAATGATTTCCGTCCATACTAGCACGCCTGAAAACGAATATCAAATGACTATTACCAGAGTAATACGGAGCAAAAGATATGCGTTTTAAAATGGAAACATAGTAGTGTGGATGTACCCTATATGTCTTGTCAGACAGCAGCAGGGTGAACGGGCTGTAGCTTGGATGGGTGTCGTCTTTAATATCCTTTAGCTCTTCTCAGGTTCCTCTTCTCACCGATATCACTGATGCTCCGTAGATGGTACCTATGATGTTCTGGCGGTTTTAATCCCCCTGCTGTAGAGCCCTTCCATGAACATCCCATGCGAATTTGTAATGTGCTTGTCTGTAGAAGTTAACAATAACATGGCACAGGAGCTTAAACTTCTTAAGTTTCCTACAGCTGTTTTTTAGCTTTTTTCACCCAAATGGAGATGTGTGACGATTAGGGTTGGGTACCGAAAACCGGTGCCAATATAATATTTATAGTATACTTCAGGCACCGGTATCGGAAAAAAACCAAAAGATACCCATCCCTAGTGACGATCATGTCAGGTTGTTTTAGATGCTGATTCTATGGAAGTTAAAACTGTTGTCCTGTGTACATTAGCATTAATTAATAACAACTCATGCAAATATTTCAAGTAAACGGAGATAGTGTCATGATTCCAAAAGTTATCCAACAGTTCTCAATTGACTTACCTGCTCAACGTTTATTTCTGCCCTCTGCAATCTAAACCAGCGTAGTTAAACAGAACAACTGACCAGTGTGTACTTCAGATACATATGAAGGCTATCCAGCATGAAAATGTGCTGGTAAGAATCAAAAATGGATCTCACATTATTCCAGAGTATTTTGCAGTACTGTTAGGCTGCGTCATCAATAGCTCTTCCAAATGTAGCCCAATGAAACTCCTGCTGAGCTTTCTTTATTATTATTTCTTTATTAATATTGTACGTTTACAATACTTTACACTTGTAAGATATAGAAATACTGCTGCTAAAGTTCAAGTCGGTTTGTGTATATACAGTTGTGTGAAAAAGTGTTTGCCCCCTTCCTGATTTCTTATTTTTTTGAATGTTTGTCACACTTAAATGTTTCAGATCATCAAACAAATTTAAATATTAGACAAAGATAACACAAGTAAACACAAAATGCAGTTTGTAAATGAAGGTTTTTATTATTAAGGGGGAAAAAAAATCCAAACCTACATGGCCCTGTGTGAAAAAGTGATTGCCCCCCCTGTTAAAACATAAATTAACTGTGGTTTATCACATCTTTGGAAAGCTGAGTTCAATTTCTCTAGCCACACCCAGGCCTGATTACTGCCACACCTGTTCGAGAGAGAGAGAGAGAGAGAGAGAGAGAGAGAGAGAGAGAGAGAGAGACCTTTGACACTTATGACATGCTTGTAATTACACTTAGTAAACTTTTAAAACTTTAAACTTTTAGCCACGGGTGTATATATTACCTACAATGACGTGTGTGTTCTCTCTCTCTCTCTCTCAGACCTTTCTGCCAGAGTAGATGCTGTCAAAGAGGAGAACCTGAAGCTGAAGTCCGAGAACCAGGTTCTGGGTCAGTACATTGAGAACCTCATGTCTGCCTCCAGTGTCTTCCAGACCACTGACACCAAGAACAAACGAAAGTAAGGAGAACCTCTGAGACCTTTGATCTAGGACCCCACAGACATTCCATAACTTGACTCCAATGATCAACATCGTGGATCCACTAATACTGCCTAAAACCTGTGTCTGAGGGTACATCCCAAGTCTCTTAATTGTCATTTCCTTGCTCCTCGATTGTCGCTTGAACCGGAAGTTGTTCTGCTCCATATTGATGGCCGTCCCAAAGCTCTTATTTCTGCTCTGAGGAGTGAGGATCAAGGAGGGAGGAGGGATCTCTGAGGAGCCATGAGCGAGGACCCAGGAGAACAGGCTTCCAGGAAGTGTTTTAACGGCCGACACGCCCCCTCATTGTTCACCAGTCATGTGATTGGACGCTGCAGCCGATGTGATTTTTTTTTTTTTTTTTTTTTTCTCAACATCATTGGAGTTTAACACCAGAGTGAAGACAGATCACAGAATAAACTCTAGTTTATATTTGATTAGTTTTCTGATTCATCTGGTTTAAATAAATGTACATTGTAGTCTGAACAACAAAAGGACCACAAACAACTTTCTTCATTTATTAGAAAGATTTGTCTTTTCATGATCTGATTTCCCTCAATAACTTTTATTATGGAAACAATTAAAGTCAGAGAGAGCTGGAGAGACAAAACACTTTTTACATCATTTCATTCAGTCATGTGAGGCTGATCATTCCTGAGTGTTTGAGTTTTATCATTTAAGTTTAACCTGAAACATGGAGCCTAATAAATTGACTCCAGTGTTCAAGAGAAACAATAATCATATTCTAGGTTATTTAATAATGACGTCACAAACACAATTTCAAAATGTACAGACGTAAATAATTAATAAATAAGAAACGCATTCTGCCGGTAGAAATAGATCCTGCGCTTATAAACAGGACACAGTTTGTTAAAGATGTAACAGAGAGAAACACCTCTACAGTGATGATTACTGTGTCTTTATTAGTATTAAGTACAGTGAACAGACAAACTTCTCAAAAGTCTCTCCAGCTGTTAAAGCCGACTGACAGCTGATCCAGCTGTGATCAGAAACAGATGTCGCTTCACTGAGGGAAGGACGTCTCATATCTCTTAATTAAAACATATTTCCTTGTTTCCTCTCTCTTCGCATGGAAAGGACGCAAGTGAGGGAAACGGGGATGCAATAACGAGACTTGGGATGTACCCCGAGTCTGCAGAGGTGGGTTTTCCTCATTTCATTCACACAGGCACTAGGAGGCAGTGTTGCATTTATCAAATCAGAATGTACAGACAAGAGAAAACGAAAGCTGTTTCCAGTCCTGGAAAATGAGTCGGAATACAAAGACCCACTTTTGTTATGAAGATCAACTAATCAGCAGATATGCACCACAGGTTTTTAAATTTAGAAGTAGAATACATTGTGTGAGCTGTAGTAACTCTGAAATCCCTCATTGCATTGGTTTTAGATTTTAGTCAGCTGCAACTCAGATCCACATGGAACTCCATCTCTCATCCCAAACATCTTAAGTCCCAGGAACCTGCTCACTGAGCAACAGCATACCCAACTCTTAACAGATGGTCATAGTGCATGGTGCACTAAATCCTTTACCAGTTACACACTTACAGTGGTGTCGTGTGGAAACAGCTACCAGTAGTTTTACCAGAGGTCTCACTTTGGTAAAAGCTTTTGTATTTGAGCTCCATTGTGTAAATTGTGGGGGTTCGTTAATAACTGGATTTATGTTGCTGTGAAAACATCTCCTTCAAACATCTGGATTCATTCAAGTTTCTCACCAAAACTACATTTTACAGATTACATGTGAACACATAACGTTATAATCTATCTTCGCCCAATATTGATCGTCACCGAACAGAGCCTGAACGCATCACAATGTAAGTGAACGGAACCTTTGTTCGTTGTCCATTAAACCAGCAATGTCCTAGTTTAGCCTCTCAATAATTCAGTGACAAATATGCATATTTGGTGCATTAATGTTAAACACATCCACGAAGTTTTGAAATATCTTTAACCCTGTTGCATTTGTACATTGTTTACATATGTTTTTTGTTGCTAATCTGACATTACTATTAATAAAGTGATGTTCCTTTTTGATGAAATGTTTGTCAGTGATGTTTCCTGAGCTAGGTTCAATATTTCATATGCTCACGGTCACTAAGGGTGCTCGTAAGGACAAATATGCCACTGCTTTGCACCTCTGCATTTTCGGTGTTATATTGCATTTACAGACGGGTGACAAATTAAAGGAAGCATCTAAATAAAATTGGTAACCTAAGAAATGCAGCTACCTTGCTGTCAGACAGCCCCTCCCAACAGGGAACTGAAGGCTATCTTGAGAGCCACGACACTCCTTTGACAAAAACAAAAATTTTACCTCACAGAACAGGGAAGTTGCTAGTCTTCCGTTGCCTCGGTCGATTAGTGTTGTTTGGGTTAATGTGTGACTTTGGTGAATATGAAATATCCACCTTGTTTTTGTCAATGGAGTCTGGTGGCTTTGAAGAGAACATAGATAACGGCTTCAGTTCCTCATTAAAAAGGTTTGTCTGACAGCAAGGTAAAGCGGTGAAAATATTGTAAATATAGTGGAGACTTTAACTGATATAGATATATTATTTAGGTGTGTGAAGTAGGTGAGTAAAATACGCTTGGGACTACCAACCACGATCTACTATAAGTAATACATTGTACCTCATACAACCCCACTTAAAAAATTGGAATTATCCCATTAATAACACTTATGTTTCATATTTATCCTTTCATTTGTCACCCACCTGTAGGTTTCTAGGGTGAATAAAAGTGAGACTAGTGTGATCATTGCATGTCGATGTGTCCTTGAGCAAGACACTTAACCCCAAAATTGCTCCCGTAGTTGTGCCTATGGTGTAGAAATGTGATATTGGATAAGAAATTGGATAAAAGCGTCTGCTAAATGACTGTAATGTAATGAAATATTCCACATTAGACATTGGTCCCTCTATATTGAATTAATGTGTATGCTCTGGTTTACCGGGAACATAAATATCAACATGTTCATTACCAGAGAGAGATCCTGTTAAGATGTTGGGAAACTGGGTGTTACTTAAGGCTCTAGTCTAGGCCATACTGACACGGTTCTAAGTCAATAGTGTTTGGATCTGTGTTACCTGTGTAGCATAAGAAGGCATTTAGCCATGTTTCCGATCGTATCCCGGTGTCTGGTAGCAAAGTAGAGACTAGCCGAAGGTCCTGGAGGTTAAAGCCCCAATTTAAAGAGTTTGAATCTTTCTGACTTTGTGTCCTCACAGTAGAGTCCGGCATTGTTTGACATTTTTTGAACTACAACATGATACCCGGCCTTTGGCAAAGATATCAAAACAATACCTTCTCCATACCTTACTTTGAGAAATATAAACATGTTTTCTACAACGCCCTTTTTCATGAACAAAACAAACCAAAGTTCTCAAAGGTAAAATTTCTTAAGAGTTTTGCCTAAATAATACTCTAAAATGAGCAAAAGTTCCATTCACATTAGGAACAGTCTGAACAAAGACAAACAATGTTACGAATCTGACATTTGTGTACTTCAAGTTTTGAAGTTATGAAATATAGAATTACATAAACTAATCCCAGTGGGCATGTGACACCACATCGGTATTTGACACCATCACACTGATGTAATGTGTATTGGACACAAGGCTTGTAAGATATGTTAACGAGGCTTTTCCACTCTAAAGGGTACAATTTTAAAATAGCACCATTTTAAGGGTACGGCCAGCTGTGTTCTATGTTTTTCCACAACAAATTCCACAAAAAGACAACACCCAACAATGTGTTGGTACTTTCTGACATCTTCCCCCCGTCTGTGGCTCTCAGCTCTTTGGTTCTGAGACCTAGGAAGGATATACATCAGGCTTTGGATTCATATGCAATACTTGTTAGTTGAATTCATTGTTGCTTTAGGATTTGATGACAATAAGTAAAATACTGTCAGCCTAATCCTTTAATAGTCAATTCAAATAAGCTGTATCAGACACATGTTGGTGCCAGGTCTCAAATGAATGAGTTTACCGTAAAGCCTCTGTACGCAGGCGTCTTCAGTTAATTAGACCTCTTCTCAGGACTGTGTGGGCGTGTATAGATTAATTGAGTGACATCTTCATGAGTCTCTTGTTAGCCTTGTAAACCTTTCAGGGCGGGACAAACCACACCTTTCTTTCATTGTTATTGGTAGATGACAATTTGTGACCTAATAGATTCCCATCAAAGCTCAGGCACACCTTCAGCCTGAACAGAGGTCTAATTAGCCGTAATGACAGAAAACCTGTGAGGTTTTACAAAGGCTGTTTGGTTGTTACACTAAATTATATTTCTTTGGGAAACCCATTTTGCAGTATTGTAGTACATATAAATGTGGGCAGAAAAAAAGAAAGGAGCTGAAATTAAATACTCTAAAGATGAGGTGGCATCATTTTTTTCTTTATTTATTACACCAAAATAAAATGTGATTAATTAATCATACAGTAGTTTTGCTGTTTTAACAATGAGCTCTTTAATTAATCTCTAAACAGCTACTCTGAGCCAGTTATGTAGACAATTTTGGTCAATTCACAAGGGAAGTTCCACAACTCCACATGTTTCATATTGCAGTCTGACCTCAGAACAAACACTGAACCTTCCTCACAGACCACAGTCACAGGCGGTGTCGGCACTTCATGTAATCCTTGGAAATAAAGTCCCTGTAGTGATAGTGCTCCTCCAGCAGAGGGAGCAGACTGTTCAGGAGAAACACTGGACCTGATGGCAGCGCGTGTGGTTTCCTCTTTTCTGTGGTATTCAAACTGTAATGAGTATCTGACAGACAGGAACAAGAGAGTGTTAAGCAAATCTTCGCTGCCGCAAGACGCGCACACACACACACACACACACGCACACACACACACACACACACTTTCATCTGCTGTACTGCCTGCGTTGCAGGGACACAGATCAAGTTTCCCTAGAATGACTTCAGCCACATTGTTTTGGAAATGAAAACGATGTCTCATATCCAAACACACCTTTCTTCCTTCTTCTCCATTTTGCTCTGTTAGCTACTACGATCCACAAATGGTGACTGGTGTGGATTCTTTTTTGTAATAGCCAGAGTGCAGGATTATTCATTTTTAATATTATTTTCTAGTTGCTAATACACGTTTTTAAAAACTGGCCTCTTGCCGTTATGTTGGCTTCCATTGTTGTTGTAAACTGGTGCCTGTGGTTTTTTATCAGTGCTTATGTAATTATTGATGAGACAATCAATCAATTAGATGTTTGGCCAGGTGGCACGAGTATTAGCCAATTGGTGCATGGGTGTGGCATTTTGAATGACAAACACATGACTTTATGTCAGATTCATGTGTCTTCTGTAGAGAACTGTGCGCAGTGTGCCATGTTGAACTGCAAAATGGGTGCCGAGCAGAAAATGTTTTTTTAAATTGTGCTTTATGTTTCATTTTAGTGTGTTAGCAGTAAAATAAAACAGCCGCACACTCATGCATGACATCTGTTATTGATCTCCTCATCTCATAATTGGGAAAAGTTAACAGGCATATTTACTAAAATATGAAAGAAGCTATAGAGCAGTTTAACGATCTGCCCTCTATACACGACTCTAGTTCAGTTTAGTGAAACTCCTTCTCAACACAAAGGCTCAGCCAAATGAGGTCAGCCAATGAGAATAATGAACGTGGAAGTGGTTCCAGTATGACATGTGACAATAGTATCAGGAAAGTAAGGGAGGTGTCAATCCTGATGGGCAGGTTACACCTTGCATGGCAGCCTCAGCCATCAGTGTGTTAAAAGTGACATGTAGTGTACAACACTTTGAGTGGTTGGAAGATTAGAAAGGCCTGATATAAATGCAAGTCCATTTACCATTTAAGAGGAACACCTCTTCCTCTTCCCATGTGAAATGAAAGGGTATGTGGTGACCAGTAGTTATTAAAACACATGTATATACAGTCAGGGCCGTAAATATTTGGACTGTGACACAATTTTCTCTAATTCTGCCTCTTTACACGACTCCAATGGATTTGAAAGGAAGCAGTCAATATCTGGTTGAAGTGTAGACTTTCAGCTTTAATTCAATGGATAAAACAAAAATATTACATGAACCGTTATGGAATTATGGCCATTTTTACACAGTCCCTCACATTGTCAGAGGCTCAAAAGTAATTGAACCATTGTCTGACAAAAGGTTTCATGGCCAGGTGTGGTCGGTTCTGTCACTCGTTCATGACAAATGATGCAGATAATAGGATTCAAAATGTTATATCAGCATTTGGTAGCTGGTCCTTGGAACTCTCAGCAGGCAGACCAAAAAGGTGTCAATGCAAGTGAAGGAGGCCATTGTTAGGCTGCAAACACTTAACAAACCATCAGTCAGATAGCAGGAACATTAGGAATGACCAAATCAACATTCTTAGTACATTCTTAAAAAGAAGGAATTCACTGGCAACCTCACCAACACCAAGAGGCCCAGAATACCACAGAAGACATCTAAAGTGGATCACACAATTCTTTCCTTGGTGAAGAAAAACCCTTCATAACATCTACTGAAGTCAAGAAGACTCTGGAGGAGGCAGAGCGTCAATCAAGTCTACAATCAAGAGACGCTTTCAATAATCTAAATACAGAGGGTTTACAACAAGGAGCACATCTTTTCTTCTACATAGTTGTCCTCAGTCTCATCTGCTTAACTTGGTCATGGAGGCATCAACATTTAATTGGGATGGTAAATGAACAGTGAAAACTCATCATAGCTTAATTTAACATCAGTATTCATAATTACACTTCATGTTTACTTCTCCTGATCGTTACCTCCTATAACAAGGTGCATCTCTATAAACACACTATTGTTATATTATGTATGTATATACATATATAAATATGTGTGTGTGTTTTATATTATACTACATATTATTATATGATATATATATATATATTATTAGAGGCGACTGTGTCTAAGTAGGCGGTTCGATCCCGGGCTCCGCTAGTCGCACATTGATGTGTCCTTGAGCAAGACACTTAACCCAAACATGTCTCCCGTAGCTGTGCCTACGGTGTAGAATGTGATAAAATCTGAATTGTAAGTCGCTTTGGATAGAAGCGTCTGCTAAATGACTGTAATGTAATGTATTATATTATACTGAATTGCCTGTGACGGGGACATTAATAAGATGTCCTGACATGTTTATCAAAGTGTTATTTACTGCTTTTTTTCATGTTGGAATAAATGTTAAATATTTAACTGCAAAGTAGTAATGCGTGTTTGATACCTTAATGTTTTTGCATTAAATCATTCTGGGATGTTTGCTGAAATTGAAAGGATGTGGCACCGCCCTACAGAGAACATGTTCCACCAGGTCCACTGGCCACATTAGACTTTGCCAGAAAACATCTGAACAAGCCTGACCAGTTTGGAAACAAGATCTTTTGGACACATGAAACCAAGATGAACTTGGAGAAGTGTGGAGAAGGAAAGGAACGGCTATTTTACACCAAATTAAATTTGTCTGGAGCCGCAGAAGCTATTTGATATCACAATTTATAAAGTTTTATATGTAGTTATATTATATATACAAACACTATAGTTTGTTGTATTTATGAAATTATAGAACAAGAATAAAGACAATTCTTGACATTCTATTGCTATTTTCAGTGACAGTATCACCTCAAACTCCAAGATAAGAGGTGTTCCCTTTGAAAGATTGTCCACTGTGCAAAAAATAAAATAAAAATAACCATTTATTTCCATGTTATTTACTATCAAAGCCTCATGTCCACATTACTCCGTTTCCATTTATAAACGCACATGTTCTGCTATGTTGACACAGAGCGTCCACACTACGCCGGAGTTTCAGAGCACCGATAACGGAGGAGTTTGAAAACTCTGGGTTTGCTTTGTCGTGTAGACAGCGTAAACGCATACATTTGGAAATGATCACGTGTTCACTACTTGATTGGTTCTTAGCAGTCACGATGTGTCCTTCCCTGATTCGTCACGCCCCTATCACGTGACCCTTACCCGGAAATTCACAAACAACAACATTATTGATTACCGATCGACTACCAGGTCAATTCAACATGGACAACTGATTACAGGCGTTGTCTTTACTAGCAGCTGTTGTCCTGTTAAAGTCTGCATTTTTGCAGAGGAAGCAGCTGTCCACACATAAAATGTAAAGGAACAAAAGCAGTAGTTGCTCTCCAGTAGGACAGACTTCAGCCACCAGCAGAGCTACGAGTGAGAACAGACGACAACAAAACGGAGAAAATGTGAGACTTGTGTTGACCATATTTATGACCCATAATCTAGTAAACCATTATGTGTAAGTGTTCATTTTAAAGTAAGTTTGATGTGTGAGAGATAGAACAAGACCTGCAGCGCTGTAACTAAGTCTGAAAAATAAAACTTTCCACGAACTGTGTCTGTTTGAGTTCATAGAGGAAGATTTTAGAGAAGATCTTAAGTATCAAACACGACCTTTCATTATAAAAGACTACTTTATTACTCTGTCGTATTTTTTTAACTAAGCATCCAATCTACTTCCTGTTTGCATCGGCACCACCATGCCCAGTGGTCGTGAATAGTGGCGTGATATTCGTTTACAGGCGTGTTATTCTGGACGGAGATCATCTAGAAAACGATGCTGAAACACCGTGTGGACGGAGATCGTTTTTGTTTGTTAAAACCCGTTTTAATACGTATTGGTGTGGATGTAGACTCAGGGAGCCGCAACAGAGGGCTGAAGGGCTGAATAGCTGCATACGGCTCCAGAGCCGCGGGTTGCAGATCCCTGGGCTAGACTATCTGTTCAGATTCAGCTCAATGCTACAAAACGGATTGGAATGCGCCTCCCAGTGCAGATGGATTATGACCCAAAAGATAATGTGAACACAACCCAAGAGCTTCTCAATGCAAATAAATGGAATATTCTTCAATTGGCGAAGTCAGTCACCTGATCTCAACCCAAGCGAGCAGGCTTTTCACTTTCTGAAGATAAAACTGAAGGCGGAACCTGCACCACCTGCCATGACAAATTCATTGTATGTTACATACATTGGCAATAAACGGTTCCGATTCTGATTCTGAGAAAGACCTACAAACGGGCAGCAGCTGAAGGAGGCTGCAGTAAAAGGTCTGGCAAAGCATCTACAGGGGAAAAAACTCACCGTTTTTGGTGATGTCTATGGTGCCAGACTTCAGGCAATCATTGACTGCAAAGGGTTTTCCTCCAAGTATTAAAAATAATGATTATATTCACAATCATGTTAGTTTGTCCAATTACTTTTGAGCCTCTGAAAATGTGGGGGACTGTGTAAAAATGGCTGTAATTCCTAAAGGGTTATTGTGATATGTTTGTTATATCCATTGAATTAAAGCTGAAAGTCTTCACTTCAACCACATGTTGACTGAGTCATTTAAAGAGGCAACATTAGAAAAATTGTGTCACAGTCCAAATACTTATGGCCCTGACTGCATGTGTGGTTACTCACCTGACATACTTTTAATAATTGTTCCTGACTATATTTGTTTTAATAATAAAGTTTATAAATATACTACTGATGATATACCAAAAAAAGAACATTAGCGAGCAGCGGGTGCTGCCGTGAGCCGCCACAAAGCACTCACAGGCGGTTACTCTCACAGCAGCATCGCGCAGCAGTCAGAGAAGAGAGGAGACACACTCTCAGCGTATTCATGTATCTGCACTCTGCAGTTAGTGTATTTATAGGTGTTGAGCCTCATTTTTACACAAAACAAATAATAACCGTAGCTGTGGCGTCATAATGAGGACAGCAGTGAAGGCCCAGGTATAAAATGCACAGCCCGCCACTGGTGCACGGGGATTGTGATGCTGGCAAGTGTATTGTGTGATGCAGCGGCTCATTTCATACTAACTGAACTCTTTATGTTTTGAGAATATTATGTAAACATCCTTTACGGTACTGCTGTTTAATTGATCTGTGAGTATAAGTACACACACATTCAAACACCTGCAAATACACGCACGCTCTCAGGACAGACCTCACTCAGTAGAGCCCAGACGTCAGCGTCAGAGTGAACCACCAGGCGTAGTGCTGAGATTGGCTGCATCTCTTCTTCAATCTCACCCTCAGCTACCCCGTCCTTAAATGCACCTGAAACACAAACACGCACAGTAATGATTTTGCATGTGCACGTGTAAGGGGGAGAGCACAGACATTGTATCTCCTTTTTCAATGTTTAGGTCTAGGGCCAAGGTCTATTCTTTTAAAAATGCATAATTTTGTCATGAATATTCCAATGTTTAAAGGGGCTGTTGGAATCTTCGACATGTGCTGTGAGACAAAGAGAGTCAGGCCTTCCCTTTTGCAAGCAAAGGTTTCATCGTGATTGTAGTTTGATGAGCACCAAACCCCCAACTCTGAAGAAGTTCACATAAGGGTGTGAGTTTCCTCCCCCCAAATGCAACACTGCTCTCATTGGACGAGAGCAGGGATGCCGAGGCGGGACCTCCGGTAAGACGACCCTGCTAACCCAAAAAAATATGCTTTCCTGAGGTTACCTGAACGCACCGCGGCAATCTAATTGGCCGAGGGCCAAGACACCCCAGGACCCCTGTGGTTCAGCCACCTTTCTACAAGTTCATTGTGTTTCTTTGTTTTGTGTGCTTAAAGTACTGTTCATTTTTATAACGTGGTGTATGCTTTATGATCGCCGACACTGACGATCCCTGAGATTGCTAGTGTTGTGTAGAAGTTACTGTGTATTCCATGCTACCGTGATTCGTGTTGAGACAGCCGCAGTGAGTTCGGGAACTGCTTCTCATCAAGTCAAAGGTCAGAATCACGTCTGTGACAAAGAGCCGCTGTTTTTGCTCCTCTGACTGAGAGAACAGTTTTCCGAACTCCAGCGGGGTGCGGACGATCTTAATCTTTGGAGGTTTTATTTTGTTTTGGTTGCTTGCTCCCCTCTTTTACTAACACACACACACACACACACACACACACATATAGCTTTGAGCTAATGTAGCTACAGGCATGTGTAGACACCGGGGTCTCCCTTTTGGCTATCCGCCATTTTAGAGTGTCGAGTCATCTTGTGGTCTCGCGAGAGGCGTCGCCACGTTAGAGACTACGTCATACGTGGTCTGAGCTGTCCCCTCGCTCCTCCCCCCTACACACACACACACACACACACACACACACACACACACACACACACACACACTGTACATACAAACACATATTCCCCCCTCTTTCCAATAGTCTGTTGATTTTAGATAGCGTGCTCATAAATGTATAGTTGTTGTTAGTTTAGATATTAGTTGACTAGATCATTATTATTCGAACTTAATAAACTCTGTTATGTTTTAAAGAGCAGCTGTCTGTGATTACTTTGTGCATGTATTGTGATAATAGCTGTATATGTGGTCTGTTGCTCGAACTTAAACCTTCACTTTCAGTCTGAATGTGTAATAGTACTCAGACTATTGACATTGTGAGTGAACACTAATTATGAGACTTAGTTTATTGTTTGGTTATTGGTCCCTGTACGCAGGGTGGTGCCGTGTTATTATTAATAATCAATCATTTTATTGACATTAATAATTCTATTCATGTCAATGATTTAGTTTTCTTTGATGCTGATAACTCAAACACGCTCCTTTTCGTTCCCAACAGGGCTAAATTCAAAATGATTACAGAAAGTATTAATATAGCAGCAAACGACTGTTTGATATGTAGAGATATAGTCAAGTAATGTCAACCTGAGCAGAGAGTGAAGTCATATTAACTCTATGTGTGTTGTAATCTGAGCTACTGATTTTTTTTGTGTAACAAGTGTGTTTTCTTGCCAGAGTCGATTGCGGCTCACGGGTCACACGCCAGAAGAGCCGCGGCGGGGCGGGTCCTGTGTGCACAGCTCTATTGGTTGACATGGGCGCCGGAAGGATGTGGGCAGCACTTCTCCGAAAAGCGTGGCCCTTACACGGCACTTCTGCATCCAGTGGGAACCCGGCGTTAGTGCATGAGAGTCCCAGTGTGCGTGTCCCACTGGCTAGCTAATCGCCTACGCTGTGCACTGCGTTCACGACAGGTACCGTTGATGATGCCGTCGTTGTGGAAGCATAGCACCCACCCTCCGTTTCCCGCCATACGTTAACTCTGTTTTGATCCGTCAGCACTCTTGCCGTTATTTTACATTTTTCTTTCTTGAAATGTATTAAATATTCAACAAGTGTGTAATATGCCAAACCTTAAAAAGTGGCGGATTTAAATACGTCATCAGCGGAGTCTTGTGGTTGGTTTGCTCATTCCACGTAAAAGCGCCTTCCGTCAGATAGACGTGACTCTTGGTGCTTGTCCCTGAAATACTACTGCTTTCAGTCACAATACTGCCGTTCCGGTATTTCCCCCAAAATGTTACTCGGTCTTGATGTGGGAAATTGGCAGTACAGATTCCGTTGAATATTGATCCCTGCTCCCATTCACACACTACCCCATGCAGGAAATGTTGCTGAACATTTCCGAGTTGGACTGTATTATGAATGGGGTTTTAGTCATGGTGGGGAGCAGGTTATATTTCACCAGTCATGCTGTCACTGCAGGCGTTATCTGCTTTCTTTAACAACTGGGTTGTGCAATAACGGACACTTTCCTTTGTGATCAAACAAGCCTCACAACTTCTAATTAGCCTATTCAATAATTCAAGTCCCATTTATCTGCTGAACTGGTGCTTCAGTGTGTGCCTGTGTGTGCTGAATGTATGTTGGTGACATACATGCATGTGTGACACCCAGGGATGATTTATCGGATTATGAATTTAGTTGTTGCATTTACCAATAATGATGAAGCCCTTGTCAGATTCTTTGTAGGAAGAAGACAAACCAGTCCCTAGTCTGTCTTGTGATGATGCCTGAAGGAATAAAATACAACAGATGTCAGGCAGGTTTACCACATAAACGTATGAGACAAAAGAACCATTTTCATATCAACATGAATCCAGATATAACACTGACTTTACATTTCTTTGTAAAAACACACTCTGTATACTGACTTAGCCGAATGTTTCTCTGCAGAAGGCAACTAGAAGTGTCTTCCCCAATACATCCAATGAACAGTGTGGGTATTCAGAAACATGACCAACAACATGACCACAGCTAACTGAATGGTTTATTGGTGCCACAATAGTGTATACTGTTTTTATTGCTTCAGCATGTTTGTCACTTTGCATTTGTCTGATGTCGAAAGCAAAAGGAGAAAACTAGCCAGACTGCTAACCTTTAGCTAACCAGCTAGCTTTGATGGTCCAAATAATTTACCTGTGCACCCAAGCTAAGTGTTTAAACAACCAAATGTGTGCAAATAAGTCTGCAAAGATCCCCAAAATAATCCTGACAAAGGGATACAGCCACTGTATTGAAGGTTACTACATCCACGATGTTGAAGGAATAACTGGCACCCCACGTGTTAACATTCCTATTAGACATTAATAAGTAGCTATCTAACTTACTTTAAGCTGCCATAAGGAATCAATGCCTTGGCTTGCAGTGTTGATATTTCAATTAACTATTTTGTCAGAAAAGACATAACCAGCCTGTATTAGTTTGATAGATTAGTAATATGACAGCTTGCTAATGCTAGCTAGCATATGCTAATTCCAGTGGTGGGCCGTCAGGTCCTGCAAAGCCTTCTCTGCTGGCCTAAACAGAATCATAGTTAGTTATAGCTATTTTATAATTTAATAATTTTTCTGAAATACTGTATACTACATGTATTATAATTTATAAAAATATTTTTCCCATTATCTTATTTTCTCATTACACAGCTCATGTCTTCCTCAGTTGCTCTGCTTCCAGCACAGCTTGTTTTAAGGAGAGCTTTAATCCAATCAGATTTCACCTCTATGCTGTCGCTAAGTAAAAACATCTGCCCGAGGCCTTCAGAATTACAAGTGAATCCCTTTGCAGTTTAAGTGAATGGGGATGATATTGTTGATTGTCATAGTTTTCAACCAATCAGATCTTTAGTTTGACATGTTGGGCGTATTCTTTGACATGTCAGAGCTTCTAGCTGGCCGACAAGTACATCAGCATTATGTGCGGCTTGATTGGTCAGTGGGCTAGCATAACATGTTGGGCGGTGACAATCCCGATATCTGCTGCCTCTATCGAGCGGACATTTTCAGCCTCAAACGCTTTAAAACGTATTCAAGAAATACAGCTGGGGAGGCTCGACTGTCTTCACTGGCGTCCATGAATCGAGAAGGACCTCTTGCTGGAGCCGTGTCATTGAACTGTTAAGTGTTAAAGGTAAGTTTAAGTTAAAGTGTTTAAGTGATCATCTTTGAAGATTAACGTGTTTTCAAGTGGAGTCATTTTCCCTCTCGGTGTTGACAGACAAATAAATCCGTCAGTAACAAGAACTAAGGTGTCGTGTATTTGCTGGAGGGAGTGATAGCGTTACTACTGTGATAATGTGTCTATGGTGTCGTTTTTATGATATGGTTAATATTGTTCCCTCTGATGTGAATAATATTTGAATTGCCCGTGCTCTTCAGTGTGCGGTGGAATGCGTGTTGTAGCTCCGCAGTGTTGCTGAATTGATTTTGACTATATGCATTAACCGTTAATGAAGCAGCATTCCGTCATGCGCGTATTCATACATCTGCACTCTGCAGTTAGTGCATTTGTAGGTGCTGAGCTTCATTTTTACACAAAAGAAATAATAACCTGTAGCTGTAATGAGGTTATTAGGAGGTGGTTCAACTGTAGTAGGACAGCAGTGAAGGCCCAGTTATAAAATACACAGCCCGCCACTGATTTAGAATGCATATTTGAGACTTCTAAACACAATAGATATAGGAGAGGTAAGTTGTGGAACCTATTTGAGATTAAAAACACAAGGTAAGTTTAAAATTTTAAAAGCAATCTTCAAAAATGAATAACACTAGACTAACTGGGGAGTCATTTTTTTGTGTTTTATAAATAATCATATTAAACATGTATTTTATTTACTGTATTTTGTAGGGGATCTTGCTAGTATACCAATGATGTTACTGCTGTAGGAGCAGTTATGTTGGCTGGGTGCTGGAAGGGGGAGGAACAGTGGTATTGGATAGGTGCTGGATACAAGGTTACAAGGTTATTTTTATTTTCATTTCAGGGTTAGGAGCTGTTATGTTGGCTAGGTGTTGGATGTTGGCTGGGTGCTGGTAAGCGGAGGAGCATTGGATAGTCCAAATATTTCCATTGCAACTACTAATGCGTTCAATTGAGCAATGTTGGAGCGGTTTGGGGGTTGCTGGATGTTGAAGCTTGGCTACTGACAACAACTTGCTAGAATATGCTGTTTTCGCCAGAAGGACTGTTATCTTGTGCTCTGTTGCAATTTAGCATTTTTCACAGACGTTGGCAAACCTGATGACTTTGTGGACGATGTAGCCTGCATGATGGAAGAGAATACATTTCTCATTAATTTTTTGTGAGGTCAGGTGTTGCTCAGTTCACTGCCATCAGCTGTTCCACTCTGACGGACGGAGTGATATTTTGCTTCACTGTGTCCAGAAAGTCTGCTAAAAAGCTACTGTCGTCTTCCTGGTAGCTCCCAGACCTGATTGTTGATGAGGAACTGCCCCACAGATATGATTCTCAGTGCATGATGGAATTCCACTGGAGTTGGGACAGGATTTTTAGACCTTACACAGCTGAATGTATTTTCTTGTGTGAACCTTGACGTTAACACAAACTTGTGTAGTCTGGTCAGCATCTCTTCCTGTATGGCCAAAAAGTAATTTGGTATTACCAGGTTTCCAACCTCCCTTTTGATCAATCTTCATCCCAATGAACAGGTGAACGAAGTCCTGGAGGAAGTCACCAGGAAGGTGATGCGGTTTTGGTACTCCTCCATCGTGAGCCTGCTCAGGGCTGTAATTGGATGGCGAGATGACCTGAGATCAAACCAGTGATCAACTTGCTCCAGGAGCCATGCTGTAGTCAGGTAGAACAGAGGGTGGTTTTCTTGCTGTATTTCAGCCCAGGACTTGTTGCCTTATTGAATAGATTCAGAGCAGGACCAACTTTCATCTTATCAACTTGACCCGATGGCTGCAGCTGATAGACGGGTAGCTATTTTTAATGCCATTCCTTCTTTGAGGTCAATAAGTCCTAAATAGGGACCACTGAAACCTTGTTAGAGAGGAGGTTCTCTTTGTTGATATCCTCAGGAATTATGAACATCTGTCAATGGACAAGGGCCCTTTTTAGATTTCTTACCAGATGCAGGACATCAGGCATGCAATGGAAATTGAGGTCTGTAGAAGACATGACTGTTGATTTTTAAATATCAAAAAATAGATTACATTAGTCATTAAGAATACTTTGACCATCCGTACCAGGAGATTGCTGAAACCACAATGAATTAAAGAGATTGTAGAAAAATAATCTAATCTTTCTCAAACTCAACTGCAACAAATCTGAAATACTCATCATCGACCCTAACTCCCTCACCCGTTCAGCCCAGCCCTTCTCCCTCAACATTGATGGGTCCATCGTCACCCCCTCCACCCAGGTCCGCAAACTCGGTATCATCCTCGACCCCGCCCTCTCTTTTCTACCCCACGCCAACCACATCACCAAGACTGCCTTCTTTCACCTCAGGAACATTGCACGCCTCCGACCCTCCCTGTCCTCTGCCACCACCGAAATTCTCATCTATAACCTCATAACCTTCTGACTCGACTACTGCTAGAGCATCCTCTACGGTTCTCCCAACAAAATCATCAATAAACTCCAATATGTTCAGAACTCTGCCGGTCGACTGCTCAGTTCCACCCGCCGGTATGAACACATCACCCCGGTCCTGCACAACCTCCACTGGCTCCCGGTCAAATACAGAATAGACTTCAAAATACTACTCACCACCTACAAAGCCCTAAACAACCTGGCCCCTCCCTACCTTACAGACCTCCTTCCCCTCCACGCCCCAACCCGTTGCCTCAGGTCCGCCGGTGCAAACACTCTGAAGACCATCAGGACCAAGCGCCGGACCTCGGGTGACAGGGCCTTCTCAGCTGCTGCACCTCCCCTCTGGAATGCCCTACCCATCCACATCCGTGAGGCTCCCTCCCTATCATCATTCAAACAAGCCCTCAAAACCCACCTCTTCAAACTCGCCTTCACCTGCTAACCCCTGCACCCTACCCTCCACTACATGACCCATTCAGCACAGCTTCTCCAGTTATTCTTTTTTTTTTTTCCCCCTGTTTGTTTGTTTGTCTCTGCCTTGTAAAGCGTCTTTGGGTATTTTTAAAAGCGCTATAGACAATTGATATATTATTATTAATCTGAATTTTGAAATATCTTTTCCCCTTCCTTCAAATATATTCTTTACGATACGATTGCTCTCGAATACCATAAGAGTTTACGAACGTTAAAAGAATTCAAAGCAATAAAAAGCATCTCTATAAACAAGGCAACGTTAGCCTAAAATATGTCAACAAGGCAGAATTTTGTTTAAATTTGTTTCATGTGTGCATTTATTAATAATAATATTGAGACTGATCTGACCCCATACTGACATGTTCATTATGACATCAACTAAATAAAGAACTTTTTTTTTTTTTACTTGTCATTTGCAATGTACTTGATCCATTTACTTCCTGATCCTTCTTTATGTCAGAAGTGGTGCACTGTTTGGTCAGTTGGTGTTTCACCTGCAATGTGATGCCTCTGGACCTGGACTCATCTGGTGGAACAGGGTTTCCCTTTTATCTTCCACACAGTGATTTTTTTTACTCAAAGGTCACCCACGGCATGACCACATTTCCCCTTTAGTGTGACAGAAGTGTCAGCTCACTCACTCACACACACACACACACACACACACACACACACACACACACACACAC